TGTGCCTGTAGTTCCGGCTACTTGGAAGTCTGAGGTGGAAGGATCGCCGGAGCCCAGCGGGCGAGGCTGCGGTGGCCTGGAGCGGCCACCGCCCTCCAGTCTGGGCGACAGAGTGAGACTCCGACTCAAAAAAAACAAAAAAAACAAAAAACAAAAAAACAGAATACAGTCCCCTACGCTCCACAGCCTTCAAAACACTCGCTATTTGGGAGATGCTCCCCTATTTTTGCTGGGTGCTTCTGGCTGCCAATTTTTTCCCCACTAACAAGAAACGTTCTGCGGTGTCACACTAATTTATTTAAAAACCAGAGAACCATGAAAAATCTGCACAAAAATCCCAAACCCATGACGAAACAAACAGAAACGTGTGTGCTGCTCTATCCAGGTCCTGTAGAAGCTGCCAGTGTTCATTATCAAATATCAAGTGACAATACATATTAGCACAAGTTCTTTTTTTATTTCAGTACAGACTAAAAGGGCAGCAGGAACTGTTTCACTGATGAGGATAACTCATTCTGTCCTAACTCCTACATAATCAAGTTTGTTATACTTCTCTGGGTCATCTGTTTGGGAAAAGCAAATCTGTTAAGTCTAAGTTCTAAAAATTAATGTTGTATATTTTTAAATTATCATATTTTTAAAGAAATAAATTTATTCTTGGATTAAAGAATTATGGAAATGCAAATAAATCTGAGAGAGAGAAAAATAATTTTAAAATGAATATTTTGAATCTTCTAATTCATCCCACTCACCCTAGAATTTTGTTCTGTTTAACCCTAATTTTGCCCTGTCAGAAGCACTGGAGGTGCAGCCTGAGTCAGCTGCACTTGTGCAGTATCACAATTCCACAGGAACCCTCAGTGTCAACAGAACATGTCCCATGCACGCACAGCTAAAGTTTGCCTCTCTCTGATTCATTAAGCTCATTTGTTACCAGATTTTGACTTTAAGAATCCAGACCTTTGAGTACCTCTTGCCACAGGAATTCATATGGACACCAATCTGGCCAGAAGTTCCTCTGCAGGATATGTCTGCAAAATACCCTGTATTCACAGTAAAGCTTTGTTCCTCTGCACACTGAAGGTCTTCTGAATCATTATGAAGATGCCTGCTCAATGACCTCGCCTTTCAGAACTTCTAGGAAAGCTTCGTGATACACACACACACACACACACACACACACACACACACACACACACACGTTTTCTAGGATTTCAGTGTAGGATCATCACCACAGCTTCCTTCTCTCCAGCCATCTTTAATTCTTCCAGCAATCATCTCCTTTAATCTTGCACTATAGTTTAGAATCCTCTGCTAATCCTAGGAAATAGAGAAATATGGTCTGGCCATATGTTTCTTTACTGTGAAAAAAAAATTTTTCTTTGATGAGGTAAATCTATTCTTAGCACAGGTGGGAAAATCATGATTTGCATTATTTCTTTTCTTTTCACATAACCCTGTTAAGCCCTGAAAAAACAAACATAAAAATTGAACTTCCTGACATGTTTACCCACCAACCACTTAACTTCCCAGGACCCTTCATCAAGAAAACAATGGAACGGGGTAAGGAATTGGAGTAGGTACAGGAAACAAGAAAGGCAAACTAAGTTCTTGCCAAATGAACAGCCCCAAACCAGGCACATTAGCGGCCAGGAGACATGGTTAGAGCTGGAAAGGAGCTCAAAGCCGGGTGAATTTGAGGAGGATGGTGACCAGCTGTGATCCAAAGCCAGACAAGGCTGAGAAAACCCACTAAGTTTTATTCCTGATTTGATTGTCAGGAAGCTAGAAATTACATATCTACCACTGACTACCATAAATATCTCTCTTATGATCTTCTTCCCCGGGTGAACTGGATTTGGGGCAGTGGCAAGTGGAGATTTCTGCGGGCCTGGGGGCCCTGAAGTGAGCACTAGGATTTGAAGCTCTGTGTTCATGATTGCAATGCCAGGCATGATGGCTCACACCTGTAATCTCAGAACCTTGGAGAGGCTGAGGCAGGAGGACCAATTGAAGTCGGGAGTTCCAACTTGAGCAACCATCTCTATTAAATAATAAACAAACAAAAACCCAAACATGCTCCTGATTGTAATCTAGGAAGCCAAGGGCAAAGGGAGCATTGTGTAGGGTTGAAATCTGAGTACCAGGAACCAAAATGCAAACGCTAATCAATATGGAGCCAAAAAGGCCTCATGTGTGGAACAGTGCCATACAGGTACCAGAGACATGAGTCCTCAGCAATGCAACCTCTGCTGTCAGCATTCTGGAAGCAGTTAAAGATGCTAAGGTGGGAAGGCCTCAATTTTGAGGCTTGCTAATGTCCCTCTACTTTGCAGGGGATTTTTTTTTTTTGTCACCTATGTCATACTCTACCAGAAAGCAAGAAGTCTCATCTACACTGTTGATAGCTTACAGCACCTGGCAGCTCCTAGTGGCTCTCACCTCTTGTCCCTACTGGTCCTTGTCCTCATGCTATTTAAGTAATTATTTTCTACCAGAGACAAGCCTCCTGGACTTCCATATCTTCATTTTTTTCTTTCTTTATTTTGTTTTTATTTTTTGCAGTGGTGGTCAGGATCTCACTCTGTTGCCCAGGCTGGAGTGCAGTGTCATGATCATGGTTCACCACATATATCCTTGATCTCCTGGGCTCAGGTGATACTTTCACCCAGCCTCTTGAGTAGCTGGGATGACAGGCCCATGCCACTACACCTGGCTAATTTTTTATATTCTTTGTAGGGATGAGACCTTGCTGTGTTGTCCAGGCTGGTCTCAAACTCCTGAGCTCCTTTCTTGTCCTCCCAAAGTGCTGGAATTATAGGCATGGGTCACCATGCCCAGCCCCTAATATGTCCATTTTTTTCTATAACTTTTTAAAAGTCTTTGCTAGCAACCAAAGTTACATTTTTACATGAATAGTGAATTTGACTCTTCCCCAGGTAAGTTTTTGGCTATTCTCCTTCCAAAGATGTGTGCTGACAGTTATCAGTAGAGCTGTATTTACAATCACCTTTAACCTAAAGTCCCACGATAAATATTCACTCCTGATGAGGATTTCGGGAACTCTAAACCTGAAACCAGAGGTTGTAAAGCCATGATCTGGACAGCACTATTTTGAACTGAATAAGTCATTGATGATTCATGCAATGGGAATAAACATCTGCATGATGTTTTATGTCTTAGGAAATACTTTTACAGTACCCACGCCATCTGAACCACACAACTCACTCGAGTAGCAGAACACAAATTATGTCGTCTCCTACCTGCAGGCAGAGAAATGGAAACTTGAGAGGCTAGGTGACTGGTTCAGGATCAATAAACTTTAAATGTCAAAGCAGGGACTCAGAACCAAGACATGGGACTCCAAATTAAATATTCACCACTATTTCAGGGTGAATATTTCTGCTGTCTTGAGCTTACACTGGAATTAAAGTTGCCAACTAACGGGCACCCACCAGCTTGCCAGCATAACTGAGCAGCTGAACGTCACCATTGGTGCTTTTGGTCTTGTGTCTTTTTAGAGTTGCTTCGTGATTACCTGGTCCTTGCCTCTGCTAAAATGCCTTTCATATGTAATAAATGTTGAGACAGTGGTTGGTCATTGTCACTTGACTTCTTCATGACTTGATGGAGAATGTACCAGTGGCCTGTGTGTACTTGCTTTAGAGGGCAGCTTGAAGCAGTGACGTCGCCATAAGGATAAGCATTTAACCGTTATATTCA